GTTACAATAGGAGCTACAGTCCCAGTACAGGAGAACAGTCCCGTTACAATAGGAGCTACAGTCCCACTACAGGAGAACAGTCCTGTTACGAAAGGGAACTAACATCACCTTTATTATTATCTGTATAGCGTAGATAATATATACAGTGCAGTAGAGGAACAATGTGTCCGTTAATAAGCAGGTTAAGAAAAATAAATGACTTAAGCTTAAACGAGACAGAAACGAGACTGCTGTGCAAACACCTTAAAAGCTCCAGTGTCGATTAATTTACACCTACCTGAGGTAGGTTGGGTGAATTGGTATTTTCAAATTCCTCCTTTCGTCAGTCAGTTTATTTTACACAATAAAATGTACTGTAAAGCGCGTAATTAAAAGAACTATAGTAGCTGCAAAGCTGTTAATTAATTTTAGAACGAGTGTTGGGGGGCGGCGTTAATTATACTTTTATATAATTAGAAATCGAAAACCGTTAGATATAGCGCCACGAAGGCTTAACATTAAGAAAAGGCCATGAGGAGAGTTAACCGCTCACTAACCCGTCTGCCGCTTGTCGCTAACAATTATAACTGTTGTGATAATATTGTATCAGTCTTTGAAAAATATTTTTTATAGATGTTGAAGTTGATTCATTTTACCGCCAAACAATTTTAACTTTAAATAAAGGGGAAGGACATTTGAAAGCTGGCACGCGAAGAAACCGTTGAGCAGAGGGCGTGATTTGGGCGCGAGAAGAGCCGCCCCGGCAGCACGAGGGTTGCCCCAGTTGGGGGTAGATGATTTAACCCTCGAAAAACCGTTATAATGTTTTTGTTAAATGTTTAAATTTACCTGTAGCCTGTCAACTGTAATATTTTAAAATGTTTTCACGGAATTCAGGAGGTATACGTGTAATTGTAAAGAAGAGTTTTTCAACAAAAGGTGTCTAGATAAGGATGAGCTTTGTGTTATGAAAGTTGTGAGGCGCCATGCCTTGCAAGCACCTTTCCAATAACTTCGCGATGACTCGCCTGCTCCGGTCTCCCCAGAAGTCCGCGCCAAGTAAGAAATGGCGCCGCCCTGCTGTGGCGCCTGGTGTACGGCACGGACACGGCTCTACGGGGAACGAAGAGGGTCAGAACACACGGACTGGTTTGCGTTTTTATTGACGGGGATTTGGGTTTTTCTCTCTCTGTCCGGGATTCATGTTTTTATTTAATTGCATTTACAGTAGTCAGTGGAGTGGGGTGGAGGGGCAGGAGAGTAAAGGGACAGGAGAGAAGGGGCAGGAGAGTGGATAGTAAAGGGGAGAG